TCCCATGATCCCTTAGAAGACAATACACGTGCTCTTAACATATCCTCCAAAACAACATTCACTCGCTCACCCCGACCATCCATCTGAGGATGATAAGCGATCTTATGAATCAAACTAGTTCCTAAGCCTTTGTGTAAATGTTCCCAAAAGTGAGCCGTGAACTGTGAGCCTCTATCGATACTATGGTCTTTGGTATACCATGCAACCTCACAATTTCTGCGATATACTTCTCGGCATATTGAGGTGGTCGATACTGCTTTTGACAGTAAGAAATGAGTGGTCTTGGTAAGACGGTCCACAATTACCCAAATCGAATCATGTCCTTTTTGAGTAGTGGGCAAACCCATGATAAAATCCATACTTATATCATCCCACTTCCAACTAGGGACGGACAAAGGTTGCAACATACCAGCAGGTTTCATGTGAATGGCTTTCACTCGACAACATGTGTCACATCTGACAACATATGCTGTAATTTCTTTCTTCATTTTGGTCCACCAATAACGAGATCTTTGTTCTTGATACATCTTACTACTTCCTGGATGGATAGAGAGCTTAGAAAGGTGAGCTTCATCCATGAGTTTATTCCTAAGCTCTCGATCCTTGGGAACCACAAGACGGTCGTCAAACCACAACACGCCCTGTTCATCCACTTTAAAGTGTTGAGACGGCTTTTCTTTTATTTTCTCTTTGATGTGGAATATCCCCTTGTCGGTTTTCTGGCCTTCTATTATCTTACTCTCCAAAGAGCAACTAATCTGAATACTATGTAACACAGCAGGATGCATTAGATCGAACCCATCTTCAAGTAATGGCTGCACATTTAAGTAATGTGACTTTCTGCTCAAAGCATCTGCCACTACGTTGGCTTTTCCAGGATGATATTGCACATTCAAGTTGTAATCCTTGATCAATTCCAACCATCTGCGCTGTCTCATGTTTAGCTCTGGTTGGGTAAAGATGTACTTAAGACTCTTGTGATCCGTGAAAATGTTGCACACATTGCCAAGTAGATAATGTCTCCAAATTTTTAGGGCGTGCACAACTGCAGCAAGTTCAAGATCATGTGTTGGATAGTTGACCTCGTGCTTTCTCAATTGACGTGATGCATAAGCAATGACTCTCCTTTCTTGCATAAGAACACAGCCCAATCCAGTCTTCGATGCATCGCAAAACACATCAAATGGTTTCTCGATATCTGGTTGTGCTAGAACAGGAGCAGTGGTCAACAGTTTCCGCAAAGTGTGGAAAGCTGCTTCACACTCCTCTGTCCACACAAACTTGTGATCCTTCTGTAGGAGGCTTGTCATCGGTTTGGCAATCTTCGAAAAGTCTGGTATAAAGCGATGGTAATAACCGGCTAGTCCTAAGAAACTTCTAATCTCAGGAACTGTGGTCGGTGCTTTCCAATTCATAACTTCTTGCACCTTACTTGGATCGACTGAAACCCCATTTTCTGACAGAATGTGACCAAGGAAAGGAACTTCCTTCAACCAGAATTCGCATTTGCTAAACTTAGCATACAGTTGATGATCCCTAAGTCTAGTCAAGACAGTTCTCAGATGCTCTTCATGATCTTTCTCGTTCTCGGAGTACACCAGAATGTCATCGATGAACACTACCACAAACTTATCCAATTCTGGCATGAAAACTGTATTCATCAAAAACATAAAGTATGCAGGAGCATTTGTCAAGCCAAAGGACATGACAAGATACTCATACAACCCGTATCTGGTGGAAAATGCAGTTTTTGGTATATCCTGTGGCCTTATCTTGATCTGATGATAACCGGATCTCAAATCTATTTTTGAGAACACCTTGGCCTTGGATAATTGGTCAAACAGAACATCAATATGAGGCAAGGGATACTTATTCTTTATGGTCACAGCGTTGAGTGGCATGTAATCTACGCACATTCTCAACGTGCCCTCTTTCTTTTTCTTCACAAACAAGGCAGGACATCCCCATTCAGACTTGCTTGGCCGAATAAACCCCTTTTTGACAAATCTTCTAATTGCTTCTTCAGCTCAGCTAACTCATCTGGCGGCATCCAATAGGGTCTCCTTGAAATCGGAGCTGTTCCGAGGACTAACTCAATTCCAAACTCAATCTCCCTATCCGGCGGAAGACTAGGTAGCTCATCCGGGATTACATCCAGAAATTCACACACTACCGGAATCTGATGAATAGGAATGACTGCCGTAGCACATGTAACACTTATAAGGTCTGTTCTCCGAGGCAATGGTACTTGGAAAGTACTCTCACCCAGGGGATCCTTAAGGGTAAGTACTCGACTTCCAGTATCTATGACTGCTCCCCAATCCTTCATCCAATTCATCCCTATAATGACATCCAAAACTAATCCAGGCATAACTATCAAGTTCACTCGGAACTTCCTGCTACCTAATTCAAGGGTTGCCCCTCGAACCATCCGGTTAGTCAAAACATCAGCCCCTGCTGAACTTATACGGTAACCATAACCCAATTCCGTGCATAGTTGTTCATGTTTCTTGTGCAAATGCTTGACTCATAAAAGAATGCGATGATCTAGAATCAAATAGAACAACTGCAGGGTTTTCGTTGATGTGAAACTTACCAAAGAAGGATTTGGCTCTCCTCGTGAATTTCATCCACCGTCGTACTATGCACTCTAGCATTATAAGTCTGCTTCTTCTTCTTGGGCGTGGTGCGGACAAAACCTCGAGAAATGGCCGGGTTGATCACAGTTATAGCAGGGTCCCCTCACTGTCCCGATAGATCCCACAGTTCCCTTGGAACTGCCTTGTACCGCAGTTGCGGCTGCTTTGTTGGGCTATACTGCCATCTTGTATGGCTTCCGAGGTCCATGAAATTCTCGACTTCTTGGTGAGGTGGCTCGAACCTAGCACCAAAAAGCCGATGGGCGATATGGAGGACGACCTCCCATAGGTGCTCTAGCTTGCGACGGACCACCTTCAAGGGCTCTCTTGCATGTCTTGGGCTGCGTGTCATGCGTTGTTATTCTTCTCTTGCTTGCATAAATCCGATGAAGTCATTGAATCTGACGCTATTGTTGGTACCAACATGCTTCATCATTTTGGATTGAGTCCCTCTTGAAATTGGCTATTCTTTTAGCATCCGTGTCAACCATGTCGGGAGCATAGCAACACAAGTTGTTGAAGGCATGCGGTATTGCGTCATGGTTTTGGTGCCCCCGTTCAATGCCGAAACTCTCCCAACTTCATCTCGGTCAGCCCGGGTGGAATATAGACTCCACGGAAGGCCTCAAAGAAACTCTCTCCAAGAAATCTGGGCATTTGGAGGGAAGGTGGTGCGATGGTGCTTCCACCACATTCCCGCTGGTCCTTGCAATTGAAGTGCAGCATACTCCGTTTTCAACACCTCAGTCATCCTCAACACACGGAATTTACCTTCCATCGTGTTGATCCATTCCTCAGCATTGAGTGGCTCTGTTGCTTCCTTGAATACTGGTGGCCTAGTGTCCATGAAATCTTTGAAGCTGCTATATTGGTTCACTCCCATGCCACCACCTTGATTGTTACCACGTTGAACGTTGTTGGCGATGGTGCGCAGAAAATCCTCCATGTTCTTCTGGGATTGTTCCGCGTTGCGCTGACTCCCGAGCAGCTGTGCGAGGAACATCTCGGGGGTAAATGAGGGAGGAGGCGGCAAATGCGGTTCATGGGGAGGTTCATTGTTGTTGCCGTGGTTTCCACCACCACCACCACCGGTCCCCGCACCGTTAGCACCGGTCTCAGTGGCCTCATACGTGGTTCGGCGAGTGTTTGTCATCTGCATTTTTCAGCAACAAGTAATGATTGAGTGAAGCTATAATAATTGCGAGTGAAGGAAAAATTATGCCGTACTGAATTTACTAGAGAGAATAAATTCATACAATAAAACAGAGGCACAACAATCGCATCCCAATTAAAACAACAGCACTTAATCAAATTACTTCAACGGCAAACATCGCATCCATACAACCAATTTGCCAGCATACATACACTGGACTTTTTATGCGTTCAGATATCGCATTCGAAAATCAGGTTCCAACCACATGCCAAGTATCATACGTTCGAAGCAACATACAATAGGATACATGCCAACAAAAGAAAGGTCATAGCGACAGGATCTAGATACTAGCGCTAGGCAACTAGCCTACTCCTCGGGGCCATCGTCGGGATCGGAGACGTCACCATCGCCCCCAGGTGAAAGTACAGGCTCGTCCTCGTTGTCGTCGTCGATATCCATGCCAGCAGCGTCTGGTGGAGCATATGGGCCAACCCCATTGTAGAGCACGTGAAAGTCCTCGTGTAGGTTGCCATTGTATTCCTCTAGCTCATCGACCCTCTGTCGCAGAAGGTTTCTCTCGTCCCAGGCTTCATTCCTTTCCTGCACCAACTGTCCAATCATGCGGTCTGCATTGTTGTTGGCTTGAGACAATGTATGCACCCGTTGCATAGCTCTATCGCCTCTCTCAACCGCCTGATCTCGCTGTAAGTTCATATCAGCCAACTGCTCCTGCAAGCTAGCTATAGCACGTGCCTGTCTCTTCTTCTGCTTTCTCCCCTTGAGCTTATCCTCACTACGCAAGCCAGTCAAAGTCCAGTAGGTACTCTTGAGTAGGGTTGAAAGCGGTCGAACTCGGTCGGGATAACCCCAATACTGTTTTCACTTTTACATTTCAATACGAAAACGAAATCGAATTCAGGAAGGTCGGAAACGAACACGAAAACGAACTAACGGGATATCGAAAACGAACTAATTCGATCGGGAACATGTCGAACACGGTCGGAATACGAAAAGCAAAACGGAAACATCGGCCCGTAGAACTTAGTTGAGCATGACAACATGCCAACAGTCGGTACCGACACAACCACACATGGTCATGCACAATTCACTTGTACACATACATTGATACACAAATCACCAATTCACCATGACAATTGATAAATAGGCAACAGTCTAAATATTTAGAGACATTTGGGCTAGCCAACAGGTTATATTTCAAAGACACTTCCCATGTCTTCTAGTTCCTCGCTTCTCTTCATTCCCTCATTGATTTCTTCCTGCCAAAGTTGGCAAGTTGCCATTGTGAAGAAAAGCAAAGTAATGTACAAGAAGGATCAATGAAAGGACTAACAACCAAATAAAGATATGCATAATCTAAAATGACCAAATGAAAATATACCTCAAGCTTAAGCTTATTAGCCATTGCGAGAGACAATGCCTCCACTTCAAGATCACTCACAATTGATCCAACATATTTAGAATCTGAATACAAAAGAAAGATATGAAATCAGTCCATTTTTCAAGTGCAAATATAAGTTTGTAACTAAAAAGTATGTACAAAAGTACAGATCATCACCTTTTCTTGTCTGCGACTACCCAATCTTTGGTGCAAATCAATGCCTCTACAATCTCGTGGTCAAGGCGATTACGGTAGGGATCAACAACACGACCAAAGAAAGACTAAAAGCAGACTTCGGATGCAACAATGATACTTGTATGGCCATCACATCACGAACAATGCATGTAATGATAGGATAGTCTTCCTCTTGTTCTTCCACCAAGCTAAGATGTCAAACTCACCAATAATTTTCTCAAGAGGTTCGCCATGTACTTCTCCAACTCATTTGACTCAACCATACCAGGTTCACTTGCGAATATAAGAAGTTTTCAAGGTCTTCATCTACATCCCCCATTATTATATCTCATTTGCATTACTAGGTCCAGCTTCTGCTACTTTTCTTCTTTGATGTTGCATTAGCCGAACTAGCATAAAACCGATACAACTTCTTTATCACACTAACAAACTCATCAAGTTTAACTTGATACTCATCACCATAGAACTTCCTCATGTAGTATTCAATAAGCTTTTTCTTATATCTAGGATCAAGAAAACAAGCTACAAAGAAGAGCAATGTTGAATTGCGCCAATATTTCTCAAACTTTTCATTCATTGCAATTGCCATTGCACTAATTGTGGCATCATCACTAAAGCACCATTCATCAAGCATGAGTTTTATATCACGAAACCTTTGTAAAACAAATTTGCGATGAGGATATGAAGTACCTGACAGAAATTTCAAAGAGGTCATAAAATTTCTTCAAGCATTGATAAAGTGTAAATGCCTTGTCGCATTCAAAGCAGTGAGGGAGACATTTTGTCATACCTCTGACGATTTGCGTACTTCACCTCACAAAAGCATGCTTGTAGTACAAAGCATCTCTCAAAGATGAGATAGGTAGAATTCCACCTAGTCGACACATCCATTGAGATACCCCTCTTTGTGTCCAATCCAGATTCAATTGGCACACTTCAAAAGCATTTCCCATTGTAATGGAGATCCTTTCACAACTAACACAAGTGATTTGATTTTGGTAATTGTTGCTGAAATTGCTTTCAACCCATCTCTAGCAACCAAATTGAGGATATGACAGGCACATCTAACATGAAAAAAAATCCCATCACAAACTAGAGAGCCATTATCATTATCTTTCAGATCTGAAATTATATCATGAACAGCCACTTCATTGGAACTAGCATTATCTAAAGTCAAGGCAAACAATCTCTTCTCAATGTACCAATTAACCATAACTTCAGTAAATGTTTCTGACAGCTTTGCACCGGTATGCCTTCCTTTCACATTGAAAAAACCAATAATTCTCTTCTGCATACGCCACTCATCATCTACCCAGTGAATTGTGACACACATGTATCCTTTGTTTTGGCATGAGGTCCACATATCCATGGTTGCACTAAAGCGGCACTGCATAGTTTTCAAGTACGCATACAAAACTTCCTTCTCTTCCAAATATTTATCCATTATTTCTTTCCTAACAGTGATACGTGACTTAATCGGAAAATTAGGACGGAGAGACTTTATGAAATCAACAAGATACTCATGCTCAACTATGTTGAAAGGATATTCATGCATGGTTATTGCCAAATTTAATTTCTGCAAACTAACTTCTTGGTCATATTTGTAGGGCTGAACATGAGTAATTTCAGCATTCGTGGTCCTTACCAACTTTGAGTCATGTCGTCCTTTTTTTACAATCAGGTTGTTGCGACTTCAAATGGTTCTTAAACCCAGTTGTCCCATGGTTTCCTTCAGCTCAGTACCTTTTGCTTGCACTTTGGGAAGTTACAGATATCCCCACAACCGCTTCATACTTCATCCATTCACCTCTACAACCTCAACTTTCTTTGTAAAGTACTTCCAGACTTCTCGATGTGCACCTCTTCCTCCTCTTGCCACCAGTTGAGCTTGCTCTTGGTCTTCGCCATCCTCTTCATCTTCCTCTAGGTCATCACCACATATCTCGACATCTGGATTTGTAATTGGAGTTGCAGCTTCATCACCTCATGTCTGGACATCTAGATTTGTAATTGGAGTTAACCACGCTTACCGGTGCCCACATTTGTAATGCTAGTTTCACTTGGTGTTGAAGAACCCCTTGCAGATGGTGGTGCAGGAGTTCGACTAGAACTAGGACTAGCACTAGGTTTTTGAGATGCAAGCCTTTTACTTGTAGATCCCGATAAGAAAAAGGAAAACATTGCTAAATCATCAACCCGCCATATTATGTTAACAACTACCGAGAATTCAAGTTAAATATTTTCATTGAAAACTCAAAAACTTAGAAAGTAAAAAATAACACATATATGAACCACAAGGGCATTGGTAAACATAAGATTCTTGAAATAAAAATGGAACAAATAGGTAGACTTGTGAGAGATCAGGTCAAGATCGAGAAGGATTAGGGGCCAAGAACCTCAAGGACAACACCAAAGTCTATCAAAGAAGCATCTAAGGATGTTCCTCAGACGGATCGTCGGATTTCAAAGCGCCCGGGAGGACAAGCTCTAGGAATTCAATCGGTTTGAAAGTCTCTGGTTCCACATCTGTCTATCAGTTGAAACTCATGCTACGGGAATCTTTAGGGGTATGCTATAGATGCTGAATCTACAAGCCAGCTCAGATACTTGTTTAGTGGTACTTGCTATCAAGAGTATTTTTCCTGGGGATGTTCTTTGGGTCAGAGACTCTGAAATCTTTGAGAACCGTGACATAGCAGGTGCAGTAGCAAATATGATGTGCCAGATTATTTCTAAAAGACCAATGATGTTTTTGATGGTTCTAAGTGTTTTTCGTTTATGTGTTTCAGATGAGATTTCAGAGCAGAATGGTGATATACTGCAGGTTGAGGAAGGCTTTAGAGGGACTCTTTTGACATCAAGTGTTTCAAAGACAGCCTTTGTCGTGGTTTAACATTTAGTAAATGAGTTTCTTCCGTCGATATATATGGTTGCATACTTGTTGAGGTAAGCTAGTTAAGGTCTCTAGAAGGTGATACCGACCGCCTTGGTTCTTTTTTTGGTTACATATCATAGTTTTCTCAATAGAAATAGAAATTACTAGATTCATGTTGAGGTAAGCTAGTTAAGGTCTCTAGAATTTGCTAGCTACGAATTCCTCAAGACTGGACAAGGAAGAAGCGGTGGCGTGCTGACGGTGGCTCCATAAGCTTATGCACACTCTTGGTCTTGGTCCCGCCGCCTCTCGATCCGTAGGAGTTTCTCCAAATGGGCGCCATTGTCTTCGTTGCCGTCAACTTCTCCGAGTCTGGGAGGGTCGCCATCGCGTTGGCTATGGGAGCCGGCCACTGGGGCGGGGCGGGTCGCGTCGAGGTGGGAGGCGGCTGGCCAGCCAGTAAGGAGAGCAGGGTGGGGGCGGGGTCGCACGAGGTGGGGAGGCGGCCGCCAGCCAAAGTGAGGCGGGCGGCGGGATGGGGTCAGGCCGAGGTGGGAGGCGGCCGGCCAAGCTAGGGCGGAGGCGGCGGCGGCGGGCGGGGTCTCTCGCCGAGCCGATGGGGAGGGGGCAGCCACTGGGTAAGAGTGTAAGACCGTAAGAAGTAAACCCTATCTTTGTTGGGGTGGGTCATTGGTCGCCTCCCAAATGGGTCGCTTTCGAGTTAATGGGCAATGGGGGTAAGAAGTAATTCGGAATGTCATGGCGATACGGGATATCCCGACATAAAAACAGGATATGCGAAAACGACGGGGATAGGGCCCAAACCGATTTTGTCCCGATTTCAATTTTGTGTTCCGCTTTTCCGTGCCGATTCCGCTTTTTGTCCGAAAATACGAATACGATCGGGTTAAATGTAGAAATCGGAGCGAACGGAACGGGATATATCCCGACCGTTTTCAACCATACTCTTGAGACCCTCATACGCTCTGATGGCGGCGAACATAGCACTCATTGCCTGGTTGTCGCTAGCCTGTCCTTCACCGACCTCGACTGGTGGCACTTCCACGAGGTTGAACCCAAATGGCATCACGAGGATCATCCCTAGGAAAAGTGCCGGCTAGAGCTGCCGCAAAGCTCACCGGGAAATCTGCTCATAATGTCCCCGATGACACGGAAGGTCGCTCCTCTCGCACCCTCACCGGAGTCGACCTCTCAAACTCTAAATGCCAACCATCCCAATCTGGAGCATCACCGAGAGCAGAACCGTGATCTCCACCACTGCAAGAAGTCCATCCTCTCGCTAATCGGCTCTCATTCCAAGAGTACACCGGCTCTTGACCCTCTGGGTACCCTACATCATGGAGCACTCTCCAAAGCAAGGTCAAGATGCCAAACTCGCTCAAGAAGGTGTCCGTGGTGCGGTGCTCCTCAGACCAAACGGACATCGAGGTGCTCTTCCTCCGGTGGACTTACTGGGCGGTCCGCTTGTCAGCGGGCCATCTGTAGCAAAAGTTCTTTTATTACCTCGGGAAACATATTTTAGGTGATACAACTTTTATCAAAATGAGAGAATCAATTTATAAGGGGAGGAATGCATGACATGAATGAAATGCACAAGTAACATGATGTATGTACGTGCCATACGTTCTCACAAACTCAAGAATAATAATTTCTAACGACGAATTCGGTGGCATACCAACGATCTCTCAAATACGTAGCTAATACGTTCTACACGATAGCGTTGTTATGTACCTGTAGAAGATTCATTTCAGCCCAATTCCCAATGAATGCATAAAAGCAGTAAATTTGTATCCACATGCTCTACACGAATCCCCAGATATGTGTACAACGGTAGTAACTACCCGAACCATCGTCCTATTGACGGCATCGCCTCAACAGACGGAAGACCCATACATGAGATACCTTTGTAAAACATGCGTAGAACATGTAATTACTCCAGCATCATATAAGCATTCACCCTAGAGCGGCGGTGTATCCGATCATGCTCTCACAACTCACACTTACCGAGGCGTAGAGGCAAATGATCCATACATTACCACTCAAACAAGTGGCACTCATACAATAGCACGCCGTATGAGCGACGAAAGAGAAATATGATGCAAGAACCCCAGTCAGTACTTAATTAAGCCACCTAAAGTCCTTAATCGGGCATAAAGGATATGATCATCGGCACACTTTAGATTTTGAAAATCACGCTTTTCCCAAATGCCTTTTGTTTTAAATACACTTGTGAACAATGCTACGCTAAACCATGCTCGATACCAGGTATGTAACCGACCAATTATACGAAATTAAGTAAGAAAATCATCCGCCAGAGCGGCGATTTAGCAAACTTAAGCCCAGATAACCCGGTAGTCCGTGAAATCACGAAGGATTTCAAACCAACTTCCATTCCAAAATGCAAGATCGTAATAAGTTTAGCGGTCACCATCACATATTACATAAAAGTTCGCAATCTCGTATACATCGAGAGTTTCAACATAGTTATTACAAAACCAGTTCAATAAAAGTAGCGGAAGTCATTTGTTCAAACCACACACACACTCACGGAGTTTAAATATAGTGCCGCCGAATGATCATCTCCAACAAAAGCATTAGACGAGACGTAAGGAATGACCATGCCCATGGTCCTAAGCATCACCCATCGCAGGATAAAGGCGGTTGATACAAGAGGCGTAATACATCCGCCCATCTACAACAAGTGGAATAAAACCCCGAGTACGAGAAGGTACTCACTTAGACTTACCCGACATAACCGAAAAATAAGTGACACCAAGGATTATGAAGGGCTTTATAGTAGGGTAGTGACTCATTTGCAAAAGAAGCATTTTTAGCATTTCAAGAACCCTTCTAAAAGCATTATTGTCAAGTTAATTATTATTAACTCACAACTAGATTTGCACCTATACTAGAGTAAACATGTGATTAAGCGTATAATGATAACCAATGATCATTAAACAACTTCCAAACTGTCATATTCATTATAACTATCCAAGTGTTCCATAAACATTTACTACGATGAAGTAACTCAAGTCAAGCGCCACTATCCAGAGCGATGGCGATTCGAATCGATTCTAACCAAATGGTGATTTATTCCTTACACAAACCTCACTCACCCGCTAAAGTGAGATATTGATCATCGAGTCAACTTTCTAGGTATCTCGAGTTTGCCAGAACCACATGTACCCGGGGCCGACCGATCGCACTTTGGTCTTATCATCTCGCCTCTGTCCTACCACACCGCTTTCACAGCACAAGTCTGGCATGGGGGGCAATCTACTCGGCCCGAAAAATCTCCCACTTCACAATCGGAAGGTACTTTATCCGCCAAATAAATGTAAGGCATGCATTCAACATGACTCGAGGCCCAACAACGGTCGGTCCTTAATCGACACAGCACGGAAACACTACAGTCCAAAACTCGCAAGTCTCCGTCCGGTCTCAACTTCATTTAACACTTAGTTATACCATGACTTCATAGTCATCCAAGCATCCGTAACCACCTATAGCTCGCGGTGACAGAAATCACCCGACTTCTACCGGTCTAAGCCAAATAAGCATTGACTCATCCGCAGATACCAGGGTAACAAGGATATAGTATAACAAAGGTAAACAAGGTATAATGCAAAGAACGGTTGCAAACAACTCCCGAACGTAATGCATCAATTAAAGTAAAGCATTTAATTAAATAATTGCAAACCGGGAGAAAATGCTCGGGCTTGCTCTCTCGAAGGAGCTCTCGACGGTGATCGTGGCACTATGGAAGTTCCTCAACGTCCTCCTCGCTTCTTCTTCGGCACTTCTCGCGCTGTCGCACTCGAATCGCTCCTCGGCTCCTGGTATGACGACCGGGTTCTCGGTTTATGATCCTATATGATGCAATGCGTAAGTGCTTATGCAATCGGTGCATCGGATGAGATGAATGCAATGGATATTTTTGAATGCAAGGTAGTCAACATCATCCAAGAAAATATACTACAAGCACATGTAATCTCATCGCATTCTCTTCTACTACTAATATGTTTAAGTCAACACATCTTATCAAATGCTTCAAAGATACACCAAAGCTAACATTATTAACTAACTTGCATTAAAGAGGATTATTTTATTTCATTTTAAACTAGGGCTACAACAACAACCAAAGATGGAGTTATTAGGAGTGCCGGGTATGCACCGCATACCACCGCAATTCCGATAACAGAGCAAGTATATATACGTATATATACACATATATACTCATCTCGATGTAGTATACGAGAGCCGAGCCCGATCACCGAGCATGTGC